CGTTGACGCGCGTTGGACCGCCCTCGTGAGCGCCTGGGTCATCCAGGCCTGTGGCCGCCAGCCGCGCCTGATGTTGGCGCCGCCCTCGCCTCCTCCCCCGCTCTTCTTTGCAGTCGACTTTAGAGTGCGTTTGTTTTTTTCCAGCCTGGGCGCTCGACTAGTCAGCGCGGTTGCCCCCAGGGCCTGTGTTCGGCCTGGTCGGGCCTACCTTGGCCCCTCCCAGTGCCTTCCTGGACTTTCCCAGCTTCGGCTGGCCGCCGAGTTTAAAATTCGTGTATTGTTTCAGCTTTGTCTCGTTTTCCGCATCGTGAAACTGGTTAGCAGTTTCCTTCCATATTTCATGTTGGGCCGCTGTGCCGCCGCCCCCGCGAGAAGACAGCTGACGTCGAGAACTCTGCGCGCCTCCACGCCGCTTATTATTATTATTACTCCTCCTCCTTCTCCTCCTCCTCCTCCTTCTCCTCCTCCTCCTTCTCCTCCTCCTCCTTCTCTCTCAGGTTGTCCAGCAGTGGTTCCAGCGAGCAGGGAGGGGAATGGGTCGGGACCTCTGGGGGTCGACGTTCAGAAATATGACGTCGGGGGCCTGGGCTCCCAGGTGGGGCCCGAGCCGATGGGGCCAGAGGATCGTGCCACATCGCCGATGCATCTTGGAGTGGGCTGGGGGTCCGAGGCGGCTCATCAGTGGTTCCTGCGAGCAGAAAGGGGGGACGATCGGATGGGCCACGACGAGGCTGAATCCGCTCCAGAGAGTCCCAGAGCGCTCTCAGAGCCTTTCGGAACGCTCTGAGGAGGCCGCCCGCGGCGCCCGAGACATCTTCCAAAACCGCCGGAACTCCGAAATTCTTGAGTTTTCTCGGCGGCGAGCGAGAGGTGTCTTCGGGGAAAGCTCAGAACACTTTCAGAAGGCCTGGGGTCTTCCGAGCCTTCTGAGAAGGCCTTCTCCTTCTCACTTCCCCCGCACTCGCCGCCGATTGCCCCATCCGATGTTATCCTCGTCCTGGCTTTGTCTCAGGCGAGGTTCGAGGCTCTAGGTTCGGGAAGGGTTTGTGCCTTCTTCGGCCTCCGGGAGCTGCTGTCGGACCCCGGGGCCGCCAGAGACGCATCCCCGGTGAGAGAATGCAACATATGGACCCATGGGGGAGAGGTCCGGAGACCACTCTTGTGCAGATTTTGCTTCGTCCCCGCTCTGGGTCGATTTTCGGGGGCCCCATCCAGCTCAGAGCTCCTGTGGCGCCCCCAACGTCCAGGTTTCGTGTCGACCCGACCGAGCCGATTCGAGATTGATTTCGGCCAGCTTCGATTCCGCCTCGTTTCCGATTCGACTCCGATTTCCTGGAGAGCGCTTTGTGCTTCCCTGACGATCACGCGTCACCAGTCGGGCGCGGTCGCGTCACGATTCGCGCTGGCGCCAATTCCCAGACGGCGCCAGCGCGAACCGTTTCGCGACCAGGGGAGGGGCGGGGGGCACGGGCTGGTCACGAGCACTATCGCGAACCATGGGAATCGGGCTCTCCTCCTCCTCCTCCTCCTCCTCCTCTTCCTCCTCCTCCTCCTCCTCCTCCTCCCTCCTCCTCCTCCTCCTCCTCCTCCTCCTCTCCATCCTCCTCCTCCTCCTCCTCCTCCTCCTCTCCTCCTCCTCCTCCTCCTACTCCTCCTCCCTCCTCCTCCTCCTCCTCCTCCCTCCTCCTCCTCCTCCTCCTCTTCCTCCTCCCTCCTCCTCTTCCTCCTCCTCCTCCTCCTCCTCCTCCTCCTCCCTCCCCCCCCCTCGATCTCGGCCTGCTCGATCCGATCTGGTTCCGATCTCCTGGCAATCCGATGCGGCCTGGTGTCTCGCCCGGCGTTTTTGTGCATCGTGGCGCGGCCGACCCGATTCGATTCCGATTCCGTGCCGATGCAGCCCGACCTGGCGCACATTCCGATCCGATTCGGCTTCCCCGAATCTGGGGAAATCAACAGGTACCGGCATTGCCACTCTTTGGACCTCTCCCCGGGTGCGTTTTGTCTAGAGTTTCGAGGCGAATCATGCGGTGGCGGCGAGGGCTCTCCAGCAGGCCCAGGCAGGCGAAAACGATGGGAGGGCATCGATATCGGCACCTTTCCCTCCTCCCAGAGTTTCTTCTTTCGAGATTCCGATCCGATCAGATTTCCCGATTCGATGCTGACTGATCCTACCTTCGCGCGCTCGCCTCTGCTGGTCTCGCGGGCCGCCCACGCGGATGCCCCGGCCAGGCTCGGCTCGGTTCCGGGCGGTCGGGCTGCGTACGCAAGGGCCCTGGCGCTGCCAATTTTTCCCCACCCAGCGATTTCTTTTGTTTGGGGCCCTTAGACCCTGGCGTGGTGGTGGTCATCGCGTGAGTCCGCCTATGTGATTATTGATGGGCCTGTTTTCCACCACCACCACCATAAGTTGGATGGGGGAAGGAGATGGAGGACGAGCAGGAGGAGGAGGAAGAGGAGGAGGAGGAGGAGGAGGAGGAGGAGGAGGCGGAGGAGGAGGAGGAGGAGGCGGAGGAGGAGGAGGAGGAGGAGGAGGAGGAGTAGGACCCCCTCGCCCTCCAACTCATGGTGGTGGTGGTGGAAAACAGGCCCATCAGGAAGATCGGGTCCAGGGTTGCGGGTGTTGCTAGAAGTACCCCGGGCCCAAGGTACCCCCCCCAAGGATTCTCGGGGTGGCCCAGACGGCCTCCAGGGCACCCCTCACGAGGCCCAGAGGGCCCCAGGGGCTCCAAAATGGAGCGAAAAGCTGGGGTCCAGGGGCACTTCTAGCAACACCCGAGGGTTGCGGTTGGGTTTGTCTAGGACCGGCGACTTGGATCCGTCACGTGATGCGAGTCTGAGGAGGAGCAGGAGGAGGAGGGGAAAGGGGAGGAAGAGGAGGAGGATCAGGTGGAGGAGGAGGAGGAGGAGGAGGAGGAGGAGGAGGAGGGGAACGGGGAGGAAGAGGAGGATCAGGTGTGGGGGGCAGGGAGCTTCGCATCGCATGGCGAAACTCCTCTCTGCCTAAACGATGTTGCAGTTTCTTCGTGGCGTCGGAGGGGGACGCGAGCGGGGGCGGCCTTCGAACAAGGCGGGGGGCTTCTCAGAAGCCCTCCCGACGTTTCGGATGACTTTTTGGAAGCCTCTGGGCCCCTTTTTGACAGGGCCCCTGCATATTCGGGTGCGGCAAAGGAGGGGGGCGTTGACCAGGGGGGGTGCTATCATGGCGGGGGCCATGATAGTTCCCCAGATTTCATGACGCCTCATCCTGTTTCAATGCGTCCCTGGCGCCCCCCCTGGGTCGCGCACGTGACGCTTGCCATGATTTGCGCCCCGCCTCTTGGACGCTCCCCTCTGGGCCGCCCCCGAGAGATAGTTGTTTGATCCCCTGGCGAAAAGGGGCGTCGAAAAGGGGCGTGACCAGGGGGGAGGGACGAGGGGGCCGGTTGCGTCACGACTCGTGCCTGCGCCGTCTGGGAATGCTTCAGAATGGCTCATTCGCACGAATGAAATGTGTACGGAAAGAATGGGTACAGTACCCAACAGTGGATCCTGTTCATTTGAACAAGACTCGCTGTCCGCGCCGCCGCGGCCTGTGTCCATTTAAGACGGCTGTGGCCGTCTGCCCAACAGCGGCCTCTGTTGGTTTGGGATAACATTTGTTGCCCGGCATTGTATCATTTTTTCCGTACCCACTTCGGGCGTCCAAATCCCACACGGTGCCAGCCCGAATCGTGACGTGACCAGGGGGATGGAAAGGGGGTGGCGGGGCCGGCCACGGGCGGCACAGTCAACCCGCATGGTAAGGATGGACACTTTTCCGAGGCTACCCTTGCATCCTTCCCCTCGTCAAGCAATGGCGAAGCGTCCTGGCGTGCCTACAGGCCTACCAAAGACTGTTCTAAGAAGCTTTTGTGGTTTCCACGGAGTGTTCTTAGATCACTTCTGGCTGAGACTGTTTTAGTTTAACACACCGGGTTTATGTTCCAAGAACATTGTCTTTGTTCTGAGAACATTTCTGGAATCTAAGAACATATCTTGGTAGGCCTTGAGGAATGCCGGGACGGTCGGTCCCTGCTCAATTCTTTTCGGGCCCATCATTGGCCGCTTTCGCTGTCCGCGCCCCGCTCGCAAAGTGTCGATATGGCCTTCCAAGGCCCTTGCATCCTTCTCATGCGTCGTCATGCTAGGGGTCGACCTCATCAGGAGTGAAGGTAGAGGGACTCCTGTCTTCTGAGAAGCCCCTTCGCCTTCTCAGCAGGCCGCCCCCCTTCGCGCCACCCCCGTGTGCGCTCCGCCAGCGGTGGGACGGCGTGCGCGGTGGGCCGCGGTGGTGGGCCGAGGGCCTGCGGCCTGCGATCACCTGCGAACTCGGCCCCCGCGGCTCCAATCTCAGGGGCAACGCTGGGGGGAGGGGGGACTGGCCCAGCTGGGGCCCTCACGTGTTCTGTGGCCCCGTAGGGGGCTCCACCGAAGGCCCAGATGCCAGCGCTCGCATGCGCCCACCGCAGCCCTTTGGGCACACCCCTCAGGCGTTTCGTGGCCCCATGAGGAGCTACATCGGAGGCCCAGATGCAAGCGGTCGCGTGCGGCTTCGGCACCAATTTCGGCACACCCCTCAGACGTGTCGTGCCCCCATAGGCAGCTTCACCGAAGGCCCACATGCCAGCGTTCGCCTGCGCCCACCGCGCCCATTTTGGCGCACACCCGGGCCCACATGCCAGCGCTCGCGTGCGCCCACTGGTCCCATTTTGGCACACCCCTCACACTTTTCGTGGCCCCATGGAGAGCTCCACCGAATGCGGTGCATACAACGACGGTGCCCACCACTGCATATGGTCGGGACCTTCGCCAATCTAATTTGGCGGTCCTGGGGCCCAGCGAGGGCCCCCAGACGCCGAAATCTGTCAACAAGAACCTCTGTCGTGATCTCTTCACCTCCCGAGCGGGTGTGGGCAGAAGGCAGGGACCGTCGGGGAAGGGCCAGGGAGCTTCCAAGCTCTCGGCGCGCCCGCCGCTCGGAGGCGCACCAGGCGGCGCTCGCGCAGTTCCTGGGCGGCATGGGCGCAGCGGGCAGCGAGGCCGCCGCCGCCAGCGGTCGGGGGGCCCCCAGACGCCCAAACGGTGCGGCGACCACCCCTCGGATCTGGGTTCCACTGGCCTGGACACCCTCGGCCGCAGGCCGAGTCAAGCAGTAGGAGGTGAGGAAGCAAGGACATCCCCGAAGGCGCGAAGTGCTTCGCGCTTCGGCTTTGATTCCTCCTCATACTCCTCTTCAGGGCGCGAAACTATTCGCGCTTCGCGCAACGCGAAGCGCGAAGTTAGAAGCCCGTGAGGAAGAAGTTAGCCAGACATCGGCACAGGCCACTCTCAGCCAGAGTCAAAAGCAACAAGAGGACACCAAGAGCTGATCACAACACCAAGTTAACTCGATTCACCAACTCGGTTTCGAGTCGGCGTTGCACTTTCACACGAAGGGCATGGGCCCAGGGTTCTTGGGCGTCTCGTAACGGGGGGGTGGGGGGGTGATCAATGGGGGGGCAGCGAGAGCTGCAGAAAAGTGGCCCTTCAGGGCCCCTAAAGGTACCCTTTAGTCCCCTTTAGGCTCCAAAAGGCGGCCTCTAGTGTCCGAGAAGTGCACCATTATCGCCCTTCCATTCAGCGACGCTCAAGGTCCTCTTTTAGTTAGTAAACCTGTACCCTGTGCCAAGTTCGAAGAAGGCGGGCGGATTCAAATTCGAGCATGTCCCGAGCGAAACTCTGGTTCTTCAACACTCCGATTGATAAAACACATGGTAAGATGAACGGAACGTATTTGTTTGTTGCGGGTGTCTCGAGCGAAACGCTTGTTTTGGAGAATGTGTCGAGGATGTTTCGAGCAAAACGCTTGGGCCCGAATCCTTTGTATTTTATGCGTGTTCCTATATATATATATATTTCCCTAGCGAACGCCTCAGAGCGAAACAAGCGTGAACACATGTCGGTGTCTAACCCCCCAGAGCGGTGCAAGCGTGAAACTAAAGCCCAAGAGCGGGACACACTTGAACACATGCGGGCCTCTAACGCCCCAGAGCGGGACAAACGTGAAAACACATGGGTTCCGAGCGCCCCTGGACGGGACAATCGTGAAAACATATTGGTTCCAGTCGCCTCAGAGCGGGACAAGCGGAGCAACACGTGGGTTCCTAACGACCCAGAGCGGGACGATCGTGAAGCCGTTTGGGTTCCTAACGCCCCAGAGTGGGATAAGCGTGAGCACAAGTGGGTCCTTGAGGCCACTGAGCGGGACAAGCGGGAAACCATTTGGATTTCTAACGCGCTAAAGCGGGGTAAGAGTGAAACCACGTGGGTTCTAAACGCCCCAGAGCAGAACAAGCGAGAATACACGTGGTGTCCTGACGCCACACGGCGGCACGAGCGTGACGACACGTGGATACCGCCCGACCCAGGGCGGGACAAGCGTAAAAACGCGTGGGTTCCTGACGCCTCAGAGTGGGATAAGCGTGAATACGCGTGGGTTCCGAACGCCCAAGAGCGGGGCAAGCTTGAAACCACGTGGGTTCCAAACGCCTCAGAGCGGGACAGGCGTGAGAATTTGTTGGGTTCCCAATGCCTCAGACCGGGAATCACGTGCGTTCCTGACGACCCAGGGTGGGACAAACGTGAACATTCATGGGTTCCCAACGCCCCAGGGCGGGGCAAGCGTGAAAACACGTGGGTTCCGAACGCCCCCGAACGGTACACGCGTGAAGACGAGTGGGTTCCTGACGCCCCACGAGCGGGACAAGCGTGAAACCATTTGGGTTCTCAGCGCCCCAGGGCGGGAAAGGCGTGAAACCACATGGGTTCCCACCGTCCGACCCAGGGCGGGAGAAGCCTAAAAACGAGTGGGTTCCTGACGCCCGGGATGAGCTTGAACACACGTGGATTCCTGACGCCCCAGAGCGGGACCAGTGTGACATCACGTTTGTGTCTAACGCCCCAGAGCGGGACAAGCGCGAAAACAAGTGGATTCCAAACGCCCCAGAGCAGACAAGCGTGAACACACTTGGGGTCTTGACGCTTTACAGCTTGTCAAACGTGACAACACGTTGCTTCCTAACGCCCCAGAGCGGGACAAACGTAACAATTGATGGGTCCCTACCGCCACAGAGCTGGATCAGCGTGAACACACGTGAGTTCCTAGCGCCCCAGAGAGGGACAAGCGTGAAACCATGTGTGGCCCTAAGCCCCAGAGCGGGACAAGCGTGAAAACAAATGGATTCCAAACGTCCCAAAAAAGCGGGACAAGCGTGAAAATGGCCCCCTGACGTTTTCATTGCCGTTCCATGGCGCGTCTCTTGCCACGTGCGCATCCTCTGCTGCGCCCCTGGCACCTCCGGTGGCGCGTCCATGCGCCCTGCGCCCCGTGTCATCTCGCCCCGCTTCGGAACTGAATCGGATCTTGATCTCGAGCTGATTCAGCGTCCAACACTCTTCGATAGGGGTTCAGCCCTGGGCCAGCTATTTGTTCAGGCAGCTCGAGCTTAAGATCCAGATCAGTTCCGCCAGGATTCGGATTCCAAGGGCGACTTGATCCGCAACGCTACAAAGTACAACGTATTCCATTGCGGAATGGCGCATCTCATCTCAATACAGCATTGCCGCATATCGCGCGGCGCGTTCCCTGGTACGTCCACTGGCTCGTTCCGCGGCGCGTCCCTTGGCACGTCGCTGTGCGGCGCGGCATAGAGCAGAGCAGCACAACACAGTTCCATGGCACAGTATCATTACCATTGATCTCTTCAGCACTGCCACTACCCATCGCCCATCGCCCAGTGTAATTTACGAGGGATCGTGACCCTCGGGCACGTTCCCTGGCCCTTTCCTGGGCGCCCCCCTGGGCACCTCGCGCGGCGCGCCCCCTGGCGCGTCCCCTGGCACGCCCCCTGGCACGTCCGCTGGCACGTTCCGTGGCGCGTCCCCCTGGGACGTTCAGTGGCGCGTCCCTCTGGCACATCGCGCGGCGCGTCCCCTGGTGCGTCCATTGGCACGTTCCGTGGCGCGTCCCCTCGCACGTCATTGTGCGGCGTGGCCCCAGCGCAGAGAAGCACAACACAGCTCCATGGCACAGTATCGTCACCATTGATCTCTTCAGCATTGCTACTGCCCATGGCTCAACTGAGGTGCTTGGGACGTTCCCGGGCCTCGCAGTTCTAAATCCCTTTCCGGGTTCCTGGGTCGATCTTGTTTCTCCCACTGGGCGATCTTGCCTTGCTTCGGGCCCCTTGATCCTCACACATCGACCCGGCTCGAAACATGCATCAGAAAGATGGGGTCCAGGGCTCAGATCTATAGCGATTTTCCCAGAAGGGTCTGATGTCCACATGGTGTTCAGATGGTGTCCACATGGTGTCCACATACATGGTGTCCACATACATGGTGTCCACATACATGGTGTCCACATGGTTGTTACATGGCGTCTCGACGGAGCCCCGATGGGTGTCCACATGGTGCCCCAATGTTGTCCCACTGTTGTCCACATGGTGTCCCGATGGTGTCCCGATTGGTGTCCCAATGGTGTTTCGATGGTGTCCCGATGGTGTTTTGGTGGTGTTCCGACTGTTTTCCGATGATGTGCCGACGGTGTGCCGATGGTGTCCCGGTGGTGTTCTGATTGGTGTCCCGATTGGTGTCCCGATTGGTATCCCGATTGGTGTCCCGAAAGGTGTCCTGGTGGTGTTCCAATGGTGTCCCGATTGGTGTCCCGATGGTGTCCCGATGTTGTCCCGCTGTGGTCTTGGTGGTGTTCCGAGTGGTGTACCGATTAGTGGGTGTCCCGATGGTGTCCCGATGATGTCCGCATGGAGTCTATCATGTATCGTCACCAGTATCGCCATCATGCATCGTCAACAGCTCGCGAGCGCATTACCAGCATCGTCACCATCACAATAATTCGCAGTTGTCATCAGTTAGTTTCCGTCCTCCCACATCCTTCTTATCACCCGAAGGGTGGTCGTGTAGGTATCCAAGATGGTTGTCCCGAACTGGACCCACGTGTTCTCACGTGTCCAGGTCACCCAGAGAGGTATATGAAATGATAGGCCCAAGCTGGAGCCACGAATTGTTACGTCTGCCCTGAACTGGAATTACGTGTTTTTACATGTGGAGGGCATCCAGGGAGGTATCTCATATGGTTGCCATGCGCTGAAACCATGTATTTTCACGTGTCTGGGCCCGGATCTGAGATGGTTGCCCCTAACTGGGACTTCGCGTTTGTACGTGTCGAGCAAAACGCTTGTTTTGCAGAATCCAGGGAAGCCCGAGCTTCCCCCCTCCTCCGCTTGATCTTGAGATGGTTGAGCGTCCGCACGTTTTGATTGCAACCAGCTCTGGGCGGGTTCAGGCAGTTTGAGCTGAAGATGCGTATCAGTTCGGTCAGGACTTGGATGTCAAGGCCGACTGGATCCACACCGCAATTTAGATCAGATCAAGTTGAGCGCGGCTTGATACATGTCAGCTAAACATCGACACGACATACATAGTTGACTCCCTTTCTTCAGCACGGCAGAGTACAGCACAACCCCCCGCACGGTATACCACGATTGATATCTTCTTCAGCTTTGCAATTGCCCGTCGCCCAATCCAGTGTCTTGCAAACGTGTCCATGCTCCGCATTTCCACATGTCTTACCGGGTCCGTGTGTCGATCACTTTTCGCGATGTTGTTTTTTTTTCTTGACGTCGGATCTCAGGGAGACCGTGTGGTGAGTCAGTGGGTATTCGGGACTGGGGTCGTTCTCCGAGGATGCCCCGGGCGGCTGGGGCATCGAGGGTCTCCGAATGGTGTAGAGACGGTCCGTGCGATGAGGTCTTTCTGGGGATTTTGAGGTCACCACATGGTCCGTCACGGCACTGTTTTCCGACCCCCAGCAGAGGGGCGGCGGCGGTGCCTCCCTCGACACACGTGTTCGAATGTCTCGGTCGGCTCCAGACCCCCTCGCGTTGACAAAACGTGTTCGGAAGCCTTGCTCGCCTTGGGACGCTCTCCAGAAGCTGCGCCTCGTCGAGAGTGCTCTGGCGGTGTCCGAGTCGTCTGAACGACCACCGCAGGCCCGAGTTGTGCCCGTTTGCAGAATTCCCGAAGGAGACCCAGAGGAGGAGGAGGAGGAGGAGGAGGAGGTGGAGGAGGGTTGAAACCACGTTTTGGGTGCTAGGCGGGTGGCCAATGACGTGCCCTGGCGCTCCAGGGAGACCAGCTGTAGGTCTTCGACGTTGGCCTTTCTGCAGCGGCGGCGCGCATGCGGGCTCGCCTGCGAGCATGTTTGTAGCCTATTCTGTATGTGTGTGTGTGTGTCTGTGCTGTCGCCCTGCTGGCGACACAGGGGGCGGACGCGTATCCCAGGTCCTCCAAATGCTTCCAGTGATGGCGTCGATGGCGCCGTCGGCGTTCTTTTCGCCGTCACCCGTATTGACATGTCGCCTCCTCAAGCTTCTCCTCCCATTCCTCCTCCCTTCCTCAATTCCTCCTCTTTCATCTCTTCCCCCGGTCCTCTTCACCCTTCCTCATCCTCCTGCCCGCCTGAACCGGGTCGTGTCAGAAGAGATGTGGGGATCAAAAAAGAGGTGGTAGGGTAGGACACCTGCTGCGCGCAGCTGTTGATAGCCCCGCCGCCAGATTCTTTCGTTCAGTAGTTACAGGGCTGCCTACGGCGCCAGGAGGAACAGACAAAACCAGCGGCGAGTCTTCCATTGAGTCCAGGCTTTGTAATGAAAGGTAGGGGTCCCAACCCTCCCGGACGAGCAGTTTTAGACCCCCCCCCCAGACCAGCCGAGAAAGGAGAGAGGAAAGGACAGCGCCTTTGCACCAAGGACCCCACTTTTTTGTTGTTTTTGGTTTTTGTTGTTTTTTTTATTGGTTTGGATGTTGGGTTTGGCTTGTGTGGTTAGTGGTTTTTTGTTTGTTGGTCTTTTTTTTGTGTATTTTTTTTTTGGTATTTTTTTCTTTTGGTTTTGTTTTTTGGATTGTTGGTTTTTTTTTGTCTTGGTGTGTTGTCCTAGGTTTTTGGATATGGATTTGTTGTTTGCTTTTTTTTTGGTTTGGGTTGTTGTTTACTTTTCTTTGGTAACAGTGGTTTTGTTTTGGTTTTCTGTGGTTTGTTTTTTGGTGGAGGTGTTTTTCTTTTTGGCTGTTTTTGTTGTGCGAATTGGTTTTGTTATTTTTTTTTTGTGTTGGTTTGGATGAATGGAATTTGTTTGGAACCCTCCAGGACAGCTCAAACCAACCCCCTCCCAATCAGACCCCCCCCCTTTGAATGTGAAGTCTGGAGTGCCCATCCTCCCGTACACGTCCCGAAGCTGTTTCCTCCAAGGCTGGCGTATTTCTTGTCCCAGGGGCCACTTTCGAGGAAGGGGTCGGTGCTTGGAGGAGTCTGGGGTCGGGGGCGGACAGACCCCCCAACAGTGACACGTCGATTAGTGAATTGTCCGTTTTCGGTTGTCGAGAGGGCGCCGTGGCCGTTACTTTCCAGGCTTGCGCCCGCCAGGTTTGGGCCTCAGGTCGTTTTCACTAAACCACGTTTTACTAAAGGGGGGTCTGTCCATCCCCGATTGGGCCCGCGGACCGCAAGGGATCGACCCGCCGGAGGTGTGCTGTCGGCAGCGAGGCCCGCCGCGGCTCGGTGGAGACGCTATTGGGGAGCCTCTTGGGGCTCCCTCCGCGGAGCCCCGTCGTGAGCTGCAGGGCGGAGGGCGCACACAATGCTGCAGCGGTTTGGGCGACGCGTGTTCTGGTCTGGCCAGGAGGACCTCCTCCTCCTCGTCCTCCTCCTACTCCTGGTTCTCCTCCTCCTGGCCCTCCTCCTCCTCCTCCTCCTCCTCCTCCTCCTCCTCCTCCTCCTCCTCCCCTCGGATGCCATGGGCAGTGCCATCTCCGGAGCTCTTGGGGGATTGGCGGAGGCGTGTCAGTTCCCACTTGCGTAGGCGTGCTGGTTTTTGGGGGCGGCGGTCGGTCATCCGGGGCCAGTGGAAGCCGACCGGACATCTTGGGGAGCGCGTTGTAAACAAGTCGCGGCGTTGTAGCTCTGGGGTGGTTCGAGGCCTAAGAATATCGGACGTTGTCCGCCCGTTTTAGGCATCCATGGTGCCTCAGGGAACTTCTGGAGCTTTCTGGATGGAGGCTTCACGACATGCTTTCTGCACGTATATGGCCAAGGCCTGACGGCCAGTGCCGCCGACCCTGGAGGGGAGCGACGGCGGCGGCGGCGCCGGTGGCGACGACGACGACGACGTGGGTAGAGTCCCCAGGGAGACTTCTTGCCTCAATCGGGCAATTTGGGGGCCTCTTGGGAGCCTCTTGGGAGCCTCTTGGGGGCCTCTCGGGAGCCTCTTGGGAGCCCCTTGGGGCCTCCTGGGGGCCTGCTGGGGGCCTCTTAGGGCCCTCTTGGGGCCGAGGGCTCGAAATGTTTGTTCGGGTTCCCCGCCTGGGCACCCTCTTGGAGCCGTCTTGGGGGCCTTTTGGGCCGTCTTGGAAGCGTCTTGGTGCCCTCTTGGGCCGTTTTGGAGCCCTTTTGGAGGCCTCTTGGAGGCCTCTTGGAGGCATCTTGGCGATCATGTGGGCCTCTTGGGCCGTCTTGGAGCGTCGGGAAGCCGAAGAGGCGAGAACGCCACAATCTTAAGCAAAACGCATGGAAAATCATTTGTTGTTTCCTCATGGGACCATCTTCGGGCCTCTTGGGGTGTCTTGCAGGCCTTTTGGGCCGTCTGGAAGCCGTCAAGGCGTCTTGCACCGGTCGTTTGGCGATTCGGGAGCCTCTTTGGACCGTCTCGGGGGTCTCTTGGGGCAGTCTTCGGCTCGTCTTGGGGCTTGCGTGGGCTCTGGGGCTCCCCAGGGAGGGCGTCGTGTCTGACCTGGAGCCCCCCCGAGGCCCCCCCCCCTGGTGGGGGAGTGATCAAAGGTAATTGAGCCTTTGATCACTCCCCCTTCGGTGATTGAGCCTTTGATCGCTGTAATTGAGCCTTTGATCGCTGTAATTGAGCCGAAGGGGCTCCCCTTCGGCTCAATTACAGCGTTGCCCACTTTCGCTTTGGCTTGGCGCGCTCCAGGGGGAAGGCCGTGGGAGAGGAGGGGAGCGGCGAAGGGCCCAGGGAAAGGGGGGGGCAGGGCAATGGGGCGACACAGACAGTGACGAACGAATGACGGAGGACAAGCCCCTCACACTATATATGTACATACATCTATACATGTAGATTTACACATATATATATACATACATACATATATATATATGTATAGGTATATGTATTTTGCGTCGCGTTATGAAAGGATACGATGTTGTAGAGTCTCGCTGCACCTCGCGATCTGCTCGTATGATCTCATCGAAGAGGGACAACTCATCGGCATGGCCTGTCTCTTTTGGATGGTGTTCGTGAGAAGTCGTGGAAGCTTGAGAATCAGTGAGTGTGTAATTAAGAGGGCGGGGATCTGGCCATGAGATTAGAACGATTCTTTTTCCCTGACCTTGCCTCCCCACAGGACCGCTATGTCGCCAAGAGTCATTCCAGGACGGTCCCGAAGTCGGGTGTGGGCCCATGGAAAGTGCAAGTGGCCACAAACCTTCCACTTACACTTTCTCGCCACATGGTCCATTTCGATCCGACCGCTCTGGTTCGACATCGACTCGGGCCGACCGGCTTCGATTCGATTCCGGTATTCTCGCGATCCGATGCGGCTTGATGCTTGCATGGCCGCTGCTGTGTAGCCTGGCGCAGCCGATCCGATCCGATCCCGACCCCGTGCCGATGCGGCCCGATCCAAAGGCACGTTCCGATCCGAGCCGATGTCTGGATCCGGTGCTGACCGATCCCGCCCCCGAGGCCCCCGGCGAGGATCGGCACGATCGAAGTGGGACGGAGAAAGATCTGGCACAAAGAGACCAGCAGGAGCAGTACGTGTCCACTGAGCAGGACTCGCTGTCGGTACCTCCGCCGACGCTGTCGATATCACTCTGAATCAGACGTCGCCTGCCCAGCAGCGTCCGCTCTTGGTTGGGGACGACCTGTGCTGTTGGGCACCGTTATGGTTGTTTTTGTCTGTTTCTTCTGTGCCCGTTCAGGGATGTGTCAAGAGGAGGTTTGGGTCGACCCTCGAGCCTGGCTTTTTGTCGCGCCGCTGGGTGGGCCGGCCTGCAATTTGTCAATCATTCGCGATGGCGCCCGGTGTTGGCCCCGCCCCGCCCCGCCCCCCCCCCCTGGCCACGCCACGATTCGCTCCAGCGCCGTGTGGGCATGAGCCTTTTCGAGGCATGCCCAGACGGCGCCGGCACGAAGCGTGAGGTGACCTGCCCCCCCTGCCCCCCGCACCCCCTGCTCACGCCCATCTATCGCCATGAGATAAACAAGCGGTCTCCAGGAGCCCTCTGAGAAGGGGCCTGGTGGTCTCCAAGAAGTCTATTGCGGAGCTTCGAGGGCTTCCGAGGAGCCCCCCGCCCTGCTCGAAGGCCATCCCCCGTCTTGCATCGCCTACCCTGAGAGCTGGCGTCGCGAACAGATTGCAACTTCAAAAACCAGTCAGAACCAAGGGTTAAGTCGGGCCTGTCCCTATACAGGGGGAAAATTCAAAAGTACTCAAAAAATAGTCCAAGGACGATTTGTAGAGTATTGTTTGACCACTTGGGGGTATTTTTTTGTCTATGTTGTATTGTTCGTCCAAAAAACCCCTGTAGGAGGACAGGCCAGACTTAAACTAAGGAGTACAAAGCACGGGCTCCTGCACAGGCGGCCAAGCAGATCTCGGCCGCGCAGGCCGAGGAGGCCGCCAAGCAGGCAGCGGCCGCCAAGCAGATGGCGGCCGCCCTGCCGAGCAAGGCGGCGGGGCAGGCGCCGCGGCGGCATCGAAGCGGCGACCGCCAGGCAGACAGTCCCTGAGATCCTGGCACCCGCCACAGACATAGGTAGTCGAGTTTGATTAGTAGGTCGACCTTGCCAGATCAAGGGTACCCTTGGCAACGTGGCCCTTGGAAGGGTCTTGTGTCCTCTCGCCTGTCTTCTCCAATCAAACTCGACTGTAAGCAGACGCCCTGCAGTCGGAGCCGGCTGGGGTTCTGAGGTGGCTTAGCATTGGTTTTGGCGAGCAGAGAGGGGGCGAAGTTCGGGATTCTGGGGTCGAGCAGGTTGTTTGCCTATTTCGGCCTCTGGGTGCCGTTTTTGGGGCCAGAGACCGTCGAAACGGAGCCTCGGTGACACATTACACCAGATGGACCTCAGCCGGGTTCCGGGGACAGCATTTGAGCAGATTTCCCTTGTCTTCTTTCTTCTTGACAGATTCTCTTGGGGCCCATCCAGTTCAGATCCCCCCGTCTCTGGATTGTTCCTCGGCCTCATTGGGGGGGGGGTGCTGGTGTTTAACATCACCACCCGGAGCAAGCGATATCCGCCGGCACCCTGGTGGGGCCACCAGTCTGCGAGGGTCGGGCTTCAGCAAGAGATAGCAGTCCTGCCGGTTGCAGTTCCAGTGCAGTTTCTAGCTTCCAGTCTCAAGTGCTATAATTTTACTTCATGCTTCCTTCCTCTTGAACACTGTTACTGATCCTCGCGAGGGGGGGAGCCCCAAACCAGTTGTTGTACCACCCCTCCCTGAGGTTTTAGAACTCCTGTGGGGACCTGGGACGCCAGAAAATATATGAGATTCGCGTTCCCATTGGCCACTCGAGGTACGGGAGTCGTTCGAGAAAACATTCGTGAGTAGAGCACGATTTTGATTATTGAATTGTCCACTGGTCACTGGTTGGCACGTTGTTCACTGTCTGGCGCCACAGCACCCGCCTGCAGCGCCCTCGATGGCCTGCACTCGCGGGTTCTGTCTGTCCGTCTGTCTGTCCCCACGGACACGTTCCTCGCAAGTTGCGCCAGACTTGCGGTCCCGAAGCCAGAATCCCTTCAGAATTACGCCCGGGTCGTGCTCCCAAAGCCAGCTTACTTTGTGACTCGCATGAGATTCGCGCTCCCGAGGACGGAATCCGTAGTACATCGGTAAGGGCTTCGCCCCCATGCCGCCAGCCCCAATTCCCACTCTTAGAATGGGACTTGCCAGAGCTGTGTTGGGAC